ACATTAGCGAGACTCTTCTTAGACATTTGCAGAGATGCTCATACAATTTGAACGGCTCCCACTGCCAGCCCCACTCTATGATTCCACTATGGATCCATCTTCTACCTTGAAAAATGTTCTGTCTTTTATTTTTGTTATTTCAGATCTTTGACTTTTCTCTCACTGAAGAAGAAATGAAGGACATTGAAGCATTAAATAAAAATATCCGATTTGTGGAAATGCTCATGTAAGTTCTGAGGATCATTAATCGGGACTGCCCAGTGGTACTGGAGTGTCAAACATCAACCAACAGGGCGCATATGAACCCTGACCTATCTCGCATAAATAGCACAAGCGCAAAGCATAGTGGACAGCATGCCTAGGGGAAATACATCCACTATAGGAACTTCCTAAACCCTATACCCTATTGAAAAGAGTTCTGGCATTTATTTCACTGCCATGACTTAGGTTAAGACATGGCAGGCTAAGGACCCTGAGGAGAATTAACTCATATGATAATACTATTCATATGCTAAAACAACAGCAGCACAAATGTTGAAACAACGTATTTATTTTTCCTAAAAATCAAAGTTATGCACAAATCAGAGCAAAGTTATCAAGAAAGGGGAAAAAAAAAAAACAGTTTCTGGAAGAGAGGCATGATAATGTAGTAGAAAGACCACTAGGTTGGGAAACAAGAACCTAGAGTTTAAGAAAAATATTTTCTTGTCTATTAGATTTTAGCTTTTAGCTCCACCTATTAGCTGATTTCCACAAGCAAAATTCCTCCCACTCCTTCAAAATATGGCCAAGTCCAGCTAACCAACTGAAGTGGCCCTTTTAGTCTCTAAATATTGCAGGTCCTTTAAAATACACACACACACACACACACACACACACACGCACACACACACACACACACACATCCACACATATACTTTCGTACACACACATGCATTTTTTCTTAATTATTCCTCATTAGTCTTTCCAGTTCTGTAAGTCACCTGGATAGTCATCTTCTTTTTTCAGTCTTCTCTTTAAGTGAGAATTTAGAAAATGCTCACTAAGATGATTCATATAGTTTAGATACTTATCTTGTTGGTCCCACTATTTTTCATGAGTCAGAAAGTACTCTGACTGGCTAATACTGAATTTCTGAATTAATAAAACAGCTTCCTAATGGAAACTTTCCTGGAGGAGAGTAGTTTGGCATCAAAAGGTACCACCCAGCCTCAAGAACAAAAAAGTAAACACAAACATGTAACTTTGCCAGAATTAACAGTTACATGTTAATTTATAGCTCTTGAAGATAAACGATTTCTACTGAATAAATACTGTATCATCAAGTTAAGAAGAGATAGTGCAATGTAATCAATCCATCAATATAATGATTTTTTTCACAGACGGTGAAATTATTCAGTTTGACATTTGACATGTTGAATACCAATTCTAGCAACACTGGGGGAAAAAATAACTCATGCCAGAAAATAACTAGAAAAATACACAAGGCGAAACTAAGATTAGGCCCCATTAATCATGTATCATGTAGGAGTACTGGCCCATGGTTCTTTTCTGTTTCTCATCCAACTGATCTTTCATATTCGAGAGCCTTTTAAAAAAAAAGTTTTAGAGTTCATGGTACTTAAAGAAAACTAAATTTTGCATGTCTTCCATGATAGGAACACACACACACACTTGAGATCTTTATGGACTGTTTCATCATTGCTATTTAAGAGATAAATTCATCATCATCATGATGGAAACTCACTTTGATGGTCATCACCTTTCTAGATCTCAAACTTGCAACTCTCAGGAACTCTAGCGAGGGGGCAAGTGAAAATGCTGATTAGGAGAGGGTGACACAGGCTGCTAATTAGAGTTAAGAAGAGAAATGCTCATGTAGTTAGTTCACTGGAGTAGGAGGCAGCTTGTGTCGAGAGTAGGAGGGAGGAAGGAGTTGGGAAGAGGCAGGTAAACACAGACAGGCATGGCTCAACTCCCGTGTTTTTGTTCTGAGTGAAATGTCGCTGTGTCAGCAACCAACATTTTCCCAGCCCTAACACACACACTCATATTCATGCCCAGGGTGCTGTCCAGAGCTTCAGGAAAAGGTGTGGAAAACAAGAAAGGAGCGTGGATAAGAAACATCAGGGGCATGAACAGGAGAGAGGGCAAGCTGGTCAGTGAAATTCTGAAAGGATGCTGGTGACACATACAGATGGGCAATTTTGAAGTAAACTTTTTCCCTTTGGGGAATTGTTTTGGCAGGTGGTCTGATCACCCCGAGTATCCATTCCATGATGAATACTGACTTCAGAGAGTTCCTGGGCAGATTTTCCCCTGTTGTGTGTGCCAGGACCTTTCCACTTCCAAGTATGTGGAAATGAAAGGGGTTTTACTATCCTCAAAGTGGTAATGGAAGCATGCTTAACTTTTGTGTAGTGTGCGTGACTCTGGCTCAGCCACGCTGAAGAAAAAATGTTTAAATCTGTTGAAATAATTCTTGAGAAATTATCAGCTAATATTTTATTAGATCA